CCCAACATCATCCTTCTCAGAAATAGAAAAGATGATACAAAAGTTCATCTGGAATCGCAAAAGATCACGAATAGCCAAAGCTATCCTGAAAAATAGAAATCAAGCTGGACGAATCACAATTCCAGACCTCAAGACATAATATAGAGAAGTGGTTCTCAAAACAGTCTGGGACTGGCACAGAAACAGAGAAGATCAATGGAACAGGATAGGAACACTACAAGGGAGCCCGCACATGTGTAGCCAACTAATCTTTGACAAGAAAACTGAAAACAAGCCAGGCAAAACGCCTGGTCTATTCAACAAATGCTGTTGGTACAACTGGATAGCAGCCTGCAGAATTAAGAAGCAAGACCCACATCAGTCACATTATACGAAAATCAGCTCAAAATGGATCAAGGACCTAAATCTACACTCAGACACCATCAAACTATTAAAGGGAAACAGAGTAGGCACACTCCAAGATTAGGAACAGTGCAAGACTTCTTTAAAAAGACGCCAAAAGCACAGGCAACCAAAGCCAAAATGAACAAATGGGACTACATCAAATAGGAAGCTTCTGTACACAAAGGAAAATGATCAATAAAGTGAAGAAAATCAAGAGAATGGGAGAAAATGTTTGCACACTACACAAATGATAGGGGAGTAATATCCAGGATTTACAAAGAGTGTCAAAAATACAGGGACAGTTAAAAAAAAAACTGTTAAAACTGGACTAAGGAAATGAACAGACCTCTTTTCTTTCTTTCTTTTTTTTTAAGGAAAGAATTCAAATGGCTAACAGATATGTGAAAAGATGCTCAGGCACACTAGCCGTCAGAGAGCTACAAACAAAACCATAATGAGGTACCACCTAACTCCAGTGAGACTGACCTACGTTCAAAATTCTACTAACAACACCTGCTGGCATGGATATGTGGAGAAAGGCACCCTCCTTCACTGCTGATTGGTGTGCAGGATAGTACAACCACTGTGAAAATCAATAGTGCTTGGAGAATTGCAAATAAGACTGTCATATGAACCAACTACCCACTCCTAGGAATATACCCAAAAGAAATGAAAACTGTTTATGAGAAAGGTATCTATAATCTTATATTTACCACAGCACAATCTATGATAGCAAAACGATCAAAACAATCCAGATGCCCATCCAAAGAGGGGTGGTTAAAAAAACTGTGCTACATCTACTCCATGGAATGTTATTCAGCTATTGAGAAGAATGAAAGCATACTATTTACAAATAGGTGGTCCCAACTACAGACCCTTATGCTCAGTGAAATGAATCAATCACAAAAGAACAAATACCATATGTTCTCTCTATGATAAGGAAACCAGCATGGAATGTGTAACTTCAATCATCTGATCCATACTGGTTTTTTTTTTCCTGCATCCCATGTGTTTTAATGTTTTTTATTTCAGTTTCATTTATCCAGATTCTTCTCTTTTCTTGTTGAATTCATTGCTGGCTCATAGGTTACACAGTGGCATCATTATCATTTTCCCAAGAGACTTTTGCATTTCCTTTTTGTCACCCATAAGTTGGTTACTTAGTGGTGCAATTTTTTCAACTCCATGGTGCTGTAATTTTGGTTTTTTGTTATTGTTTTTATTGTTCTAATTCATACCAATTGTTGACCTTATTTTGAGGTTTCTCATTTATGGGAATGTATAATGATAGAATAATAGAGACTGCCACATCCAGATGTGAGAATACAATGCAATATGTATTCCTGATTCCAAATCAATCATGGACTCCCAATGAAACTGTTGGACATGAGTGTACAATATGATACTGACTGCCTGACATTGTCTGTACCAACAATGTTGGGGTACACTTAAATAACAGACTGATGGAATCATGACTCCTATGAAGGACTATACTATTGTAGCAATGTGGGAAAAATCTGTTGGGGTATGGTATTTTTCTTGGGGGGGGAACCCCAGTCTCTATGAAATTGTACCACAAAACTCAAAATTCAAAATAAAACTTTAGCGAAAGAAAGAAAGAAAGAGAAAGAAAGAAAGAGAAGAGAAAGAAAAGAAAGAGAAAAGAAAGAAAGAAAGAAAGAGAAAGAATGAATTTAGTACTAGAAGGAAACTTTTCCCACTCCACATTTCCAGGAAAAAAGACTCAAAACAAACCTCACAGCTAACATCAGCCCTAAAGGCTGAAGGATTTTTCCTTGTGGTCAGGAAGAAAACAATAGTAAAGGTTATCTGATTTCTAGTCTGCAATGTACTACAAGTTTTTCCATAGCAATTAGATACAAAGGGAAATGGAAAGCAATCAAGAAATCTAATAGAACTAATCAACAGATGTAACAAGGTTGCATAATACAAGATCAATATACAAAAACCAATTTAATTTAATTTGTGCTTCATAGTGTCAAAAAACATGGCAAACTGTAGCAATCAAGAGAGTATGCTTCTGGCATAGGGCTAGAAAGATGAATTAATAAAACAGAATTAAGAATCCAGAATCCTATGCATTTATTATAAACTACATTAAAATATTGTATTATTTATTTGATAGGAGAGAGAGAGAAAGAATTTCCCATCTGGTGGATCACTCCCTGGATGTCTACAACAACTAGGATGAGGTTATACAATAGACAGAAACAAGGAACTTTATCTGGGTCTCCCACAGAATGGCAATCACTCAGGTGCTTGAGTCATACCCCTTGACTGCTTCCATGGTGTGATGTGCATGAGCAAAAAGCTGGAATTGGGAACCAAATAGGTACTCAGACTCAGGGACTCCAATGCAGAATGTAGGTGTTCCATGGGGCAGCTTGTTATACCAAATGCTACCTCCCTATATAGTCACACTTTCAAAAATGCCATTAAATCCTTTGATACCAAATGTATCAACTCAAATTGAATTACAGATCTACACAAAAAAGCCAAAATATGATATTCTGAGAATAAAATACTGAAATAAATCATCATGATTTAATGTTGCTCAAGCTGTTATTAGATATTCCATAAAAGCACAAATGACAAAACGAAAAAAAAGTCATTAGATTTTATCAGAATTAAAATGTTGTGTTTTAAAGAATAAGAAAGAAGTGAAAATAAATCACAGAATAGAAGAAATAAAATGTTTGCCAATCACATGATTTTAAAGACATTTGTATTTAGAAATCATGAAGGTCTTATATATTTCAATAATATAAAGAATACAATTAAATTAAAAGAGAGCATTATTTTTCAAAGATAATATGTAAATGGTATGTAGGATCCTCAGGAAGAAATTTAAATATCTGAATATAAAGAAAATTCATACCAAATTATAAACCACTTAATAGCCATTAAAATATCTGTTAATTTAAAAAATGCAAACTAATGGGACTCTAGAGAAATCAACATGCAGAGAGAAATTTTCATGCACAAAGTAACTCAAGTGCTTTGCTTTATGGAATGTGAAACAGCTTAGCAACTGTGCAAGCAGCCCACTGGTTTCTTACCAAATAGGAAAATATAATTAATGTTAGTTACATTTCTGGTTATATAGACATAAAATAAGTTGAAAGCAGAAACTTACACGAAACATCTAAGCACCAGTCTTCATAACAGCATTCTGTGTAATAAATATTTATCATTGATAAATGGGCAACCAAAATGACATGGGTTGCACAGAAATGCACATGTATAAATAATAAAATATTTTTGAGCCTTGAAAAATAGGATATTGACACATGCATAAAAGGAGTCAGGGAATTGAGGCTATACTATACATCTCTTTTTGAAAAAATGACCAAAAAAAAGGCACATTTACATGAGCTGTTTCCAAGTTTGTAAATAGTATAGAATACGGTATTGTCTACTATTGAGCATGGGCTTTTATCAGAATTAAGTTTGAGAATTCCTTGTATTGATCATTGCATGATTCCATTCATACACTAAAACTCACTGAATTATATTCAATGGATATAGCATTTAATTTCATGGTATTTTAACTATATCTCAACAAGGCTGTTATTAATAATAATGATAGTGAACCTAGACCCTAAATACAAGTAGAACAACATCATCAACAACAACAAAAACAAAAACTGCTGGTACAAAACGGGGAGTTTCAGGATACCTCCAGACTGGAGGCTGTGACAGTGGGGATGGATTCCATGAACACATGACAGAAGGGGACTTAAGCTAAGAAGAACAGTTTCATTAATTGTTAATGTAGAGGTCCCAGAAGGGAACAGACTATAGGGTTGAGGAACACCTGCTGTAAGAGGGATCAGGGAAGACTTGCTGCCCATTGCCCAAATGACCAGAATGCCAAGTAAATTCACTGCTCTGTGTAAGCAGCATGCTGGGGAGCAGAGGAAGGTCAGAGGTCTCATTATAGGAATAGATCTGGCAAGAAATTCAAATGCTTAAGTTATGAAGATTAAATTCTGAAACACTGAGGTTTTTCTCAAAGAAATCTGAATGCACCTGGAAGAGATTAAGTTTTAAGACAGAAGGGACTAAATCATCATAAGTGCTTGAGATTAATGTTCCTTTCTGCACTGTTATAGAAATGGTTGTTCTAATGCATTGAGTTCAAGTAGAGAAAAATAAAGAAAACTGCATTCCCTTATCACAGCGTCAGAATGATCAAACCTTTAACTTCTGATTCATGCAGGAAACAGGGTGCTCAAGGAATGATCGTGAAGTGCCTTTCTTGTGGATAAGCAAGAAGTCAAATATAGTTTATGGGATAACAAAAAGCAAAAGGCAGAAAGCATGCTTGGGACTGAGTTGGCACTACTATGGTACCTCTAACTTTCAGTTACAATTCTGAATCTCTTTGGGGGAATTAATTGGCATAGCCGTTTAGGAAATATAATGAAATAACTAGTAGTTCCTGCTAGCTCTGAATCACTGACTGTTGACTCTTGAAATGTCTGCCACATCTTAGCTCCGTCCATTTGGGCATTGCCTCTGAAGAGATGATGTTCTCTCTTTCCTTGATTAGGAAGCTAGACTAAGAACAGCCAGACATAAAGCACAATTACCTGTGAGGTGAATCCAACTCTTATTTCTGCAGGCACATGGTACAATAAGTTCAGGATTAGTCAAATCACCGTGACAGCTCACACAGTAATGGAAGGCTCTGGACAAAGAAAAGCAAATCAAGAATGACTTATGTGAGACTTAACGGTGCAAACATGCAGTGCTGACTCAGTCTGCCTCCCATGAAGTTTTATTTGCTTTAGTGCTCCCTCCTCCCCACAAAGTAATCAGAAATTACCTTTTGACTTCTTTTGGAGATTCAGCAATAAAGAAGCCTAGTGTATTCTTACGCAGCCTAACTTGTGCAGGGGGATTTAGCATCAAACCACTGGAAATGAAAAGTAAAAACACGCAGTAATTTCCCCCTTTGAAGTTCTGTGACAATAGTAGATATTTCATTCTATCATCACCTGTGGATTCTCTAGGTTGCTGAGTTCATAGAATTCAATCTCATTCTACTATCAGACATGGTGGGAAAATGTTCATCTACTTGTGTTTGATTCTTTGTTTGATTACTGCTGAATGTGTCAGAGAGTCAGGTAACAACCTGGCTGCTCAGCTGCCTACACAGCTAAGAGGAGTGGCTGGTGGTTCCTGCCTGGATTGTGTCATGAGGTGGTCTAATCAATCCAGGTGAATCCTGCCTTGCTAACTTAGGCTATCAAATGCCAAGTAATCCAAGACCATACTGTTCTCATTCTATGGTCACACACCTACTGCTTAGCAATAAGTTTTATCTAATTATCCAGATGAATTCCAAGTGTGTTTTGTTTACTATGTAAGGTTTGGAAATGCAGACTTCTCTTGACATTGATATTGTTGATTTTTAAGCCTATTTTTGTTTTATTTCTGCATTAAGCATTTTTTTGTTTGTTTTCTTATGGATTCTGTGCTTGAAAAGGCAGTCCAATAAATTTCTATCCTTGTTTTTCTTTGATGTAGGTCTCTACTAATACTATGACTTTTTGCATGACCTATATTTCTCCTTGTTTATCAAAGTCTCCCCTTATTTCCTTCTGCTCACATTTCCATTGGGATGAGGCCTCATTGCCTTTTTTTTTTTTTTTTGCTTGTTTGTTTTTGTGCCTGATGACAGTACCTTCTAAAAGTCACTCCTTTTTATATTCACACTGGTGAGGTTTAGTCTTCATTTGGCAATTTTCCATTTGCTCTGATGTTAGGATACCCCAAAGTCATCTTCGAATGTTAATAATCCCTTACAGAAATAAAAGAGTTGGCACAATAAAAACCCTTCAGTCCTGGGCCAAAGAGCTGGAGGGGAATGACTAGCAGTGTTCAGGGACCTGGTTACCTACAGCAATGGATGGCATTTCTTGAGTGTTCACTGACTGGTGTGAATGAGTGCAATGCTTGCATTTGTCTTTGAAATGAAGAGGAGGGGGACTTTTGACCCTTTAATTGTCTTCGGTTGGTGTTCACTAACCAGCAAGCATAGACTTTGTTGTGTTCTGCTTTGTCTTTTAGAAGGGTGTGGATTGTTCTCAGAACTTATGTTACAAATGTAGCTATGAGGATATTTGAGAGAAGATACATAATTCTTTTGAGGATTATCTCAGATTGGTATTATTCCTCAGCAGTCTCCTTCAGACATCACAGCCAGCCTCTCTGAGAACTGGTCTGCCACCCGAACAAACTCAGAATGTTCTCCAGCTGAGGTCAGATTCAGCTGCTCCCCTTAGCGGGTGATACATAATTGCCCAAGATAATTCTTTAGGTTCCTTCAGGACTTCTGTAAATCTTAGCCTGTTGAAGTGGCTCTGAAAAAGGGAGATTATCAGATTTCTATCCATATATAGGGATTGTGGTTATTTTAGAAGCAATGTGCTCTGAAGCATGGCCCACTGAGATAGACTGAGTGTACAATGTATTGCTGCCCCTTGGGGATCTTGGGAACTCAAGAAACTCTGATGCTGCTGGGCCTCAGTTTCCTTCTCCATACAATTGGACTGGCGATTGTTACCATCTTGTAGTGCTGCTGTAGGCTTCAAGAGTCTGTGTATGTACAATGCCTGGAACAGTCTTGTCCATGAAACAATCTTCTGAAAAACTGCTGCCAGTGTCTTTGAAAAATCAGTCTCTTAGAAAGGTGTGAGTCCTCAAAGGGAAACCAAAGCTAAAGCTATGTTCCAGCTGGCTCCCTTTGATTGGTGACAGACAAGTGCCATGTGTGAACAGCACCAAGACCACTTGAATCAATGCAAAATTTAGTGGCTTAATAAATGTTCATTTTCTGGTCTATCATGTCTTAACAGTCACCTTAATACAATTTATAGAAATCTAGTGGGTTAACCCTGGGAAGATATAAACAAACATGTGACCCAGTAGTTTACATGCCAGTGAAAACCTGAATACATATCATAAAGACTTAAGAAGAAATTTCTGGGCTCCATTTTAGGAAATTTAGATCTTGTCAAGTTTGAAATGAATTTTTAGAAACTATGCATCTTTGAAAGTTTATAAATAAGTTCATTTAGAACCCCAGGATGATGATGGCAAAAGATGCTACTGAAATTTGAGCAAGATGTTAGTCAATCTGAGACCCAACCTGGCTAGCTTACAGCTGTAGGTCTACACTTTGCATACGACATATTATAGAACAAAGTCCATTTGTGCAGATAACTATATGCATAGGTTTAGGCTGTGAGATATTCTTAAACATGGCAGAATTGTTAAACAGAATTTTATCAAGTAATACCCCTTGCTAGTGTCTCCTTAATGACTTTAAACAGTAATCTATTGACATTTTTGCTATCCAGTTTTTTTCTAGATCTTCTGTATCCAAACAGGAGTTTAATTCTTTCAATTTTTTCACATAAAATTATTCCTTCATGCTCTATCTAACATCTTACAATACTGCACACATTTTAATGGTTCTCTACAATTCTAGAATTTCCAGGGATTCCAATTTTATAGCTGGAAAGGATTTTAGAGATTAATTTAATCAACTTCACTTAAGCCACAAGGCTGGCAAATCAGAATCAAAATCAGCATCAAACATGTTGATTCCAGTTTATAACTTGAGTTAATTTTCTACTAAGGAACACAGATGAGCCAGTGTAATAACAGTCTTTCTTGCTCCCCATCACATTTGGGTCTCTACTTTTTCTTTTTTTCTTTCTTTCTTTCTTTCTTTCTTTTTTTTTTTTTTTGCTGCATCTTTTGTCTCTATAGAAGATCACTGTAGCTCATTCATATTCTTTTGTTATGTTTCCCACCTGGCTATGCAGATTCCCTCCGTCCTGGATTTTTTTTTTTTTTTTTGGTATGACACAAGTTACCATTCTATGACTTATGGATTCTCTGGAAAGGCTAATGTCCTATTAAGATTGCCTCTTTCTTTTATTCACTCTATCAATGGCCGACTTGATCCAGTGGGCCAATAAAACCTCCAATCTGAACAATTATGCATCTTATCAGAGGCTATTCTATTTCCTAGCTTCCTTTCAAGGCTGAGATTTATAAGATCTAATTATATTGTTAAGAAGAACAGATCTGAAAAGATCATGAGAGAGAACCAGGCTGGGACCACCTGAACAAGTGCAAAGGCATAGTGTTTACCCATTGGAGCTACTGTTCCAACCCCAGTCTTAGAGACAGCACTCAGGGCACTACAGTGGTGGGAGCTTAGCAACCTGGAGGCTGACTCCCAGCACATGGCAATGAGCCCAGCTCTAATTGTATCTTTTGAACAGTCTTAATCTTGTTCTCCTTAGAAAGTAACTGTAGACATGAGAAGCCTTAATAGTACCAGTAAACACCGTGAAAGGCAGATCTGTTTTCAATGGCTATCAGCATGAGGTTTAACTTCACGAAGCAGAGCCTAGGGAGTAAGACAAGAAAGTGTGAGAATTAGAGGAAGGATTAGGGAGCTTGGTTTATCAGAATTTGAGCGTGACAGAGAGGAAACACGAGTGTGAGCAGAAGAGCAAGGGTCTCCCACAGCAGGAATTGGCACTGGGACTGGAAACCACCTGAGGCAACTGACAGAAGTAAGGGTGCCACAAACACTCAAAGCTGTCCATGATTTTATCTTCAGGGTTTATAACAGAGGCTGGCCTAGGGTGAGGCCTTGATGACCAGTGTGGGATAGAAACAGTTGTGTGAAAGAATAAGGAGAGGATATTTGACTTTAACCTACCGGGAAACATCAGGGAAACTCATTCCAGCAAAATCATCAGATAGACGTTGAGTTAGAATTTTGTTCTTCAGTCCATCCAAGAATTGTTTTTCCCAGGTCTGTTTAGGAATAACCTGAAATATATAACCCAGGCATACACAGCATGTTCACATGGATCTGGGATTCTGTCATTCAAGAGGAAATTTACGTGACATGGTAAGCTAGTCTCCTTGACACTTCCAGTAGCAGTCAAATCTCATTTATTGGGGGAAAAATACTTGCCTTCAGGCTTTTTGTTAGCTTGTTTTTGTAAAGCTTGTCCTAAGATTGGGACGTGGGGTTAGAGACAAGGTTTGATGTCAATGTACAAGGTTACCTTTTTGTTTTGCTCAACAAATAGAGATGTTAGAAAGGTGCACAAGCCAGGCACCAAACAGCCTTGGGCAAGGAATCCAAGCTTTAATTCAGCAAAGCAGATTATATTATCTCCCATGCTCCAGTCCCAACTGGGAATTTTCGGCAGATAGACCTGTTTTGTAGGAGAAAGTAGTTCAATCATTCAGAGTACAGATTTCCCAAGGAAGCTTATTTGCATGGATGTTGTTTTCTTTCATTTAATTACTTGATACCACTTATCCCTTACCATGGTTGGGATAATGTTTTGCCCAGGACAATGGAGGTGATAAGAACAAATGCAATGCTACAATTACAACATTAGGTCAAATGGTTTAGATTTCTAATTCTGCTCCCAATGTATCCACCAAGTGATTAACATTCTCAGTGAGGCTCCAAATTTCATGTCCAGTTGGCAGAAAGTTTTTATTTGTAGATTCTTTATCTAGTAATCAGGTTCATGGCAATTTAAACACTCAGTGAGAAATGGACTGAAAATTCTCATATATCCTAATACCTTGTTATGAGACTGAAGAATCTGTATGATGATTCTGGTCTTAGGGTAGTAGTTCTTGACAGAGAGAACCCTGCACAAATAAAAAATGTGCTCATCAGCAACACACATGAAGCCAAGTGTCTGTATTATTCAATTTAGAGTTCAATTGGAGTGTGGGTAAATCTAGGAAAACTTATCATATTACAAAGTTCATTGCTATGCTGGTTTCTAAAAATAGTCTGTTAAACAACATACTCAGTGGGGTGCTACTGGTTCAGTGACTTCCTAAACCAAATCACCTGAAAAAGTCAGCTATTGATATTCAAAAAGTAAGGGCCAGCTCTTGAAGAAGAGATAAACAGTTTCACATTTTTTAGATTTGTCCTGAAATGCAAATACAAGAATTACAGAAAACAATGGAGATTTTACTGTTTTATCTAACATCAACTAGGTCACAGGCTATGTAATTGAATTTTCTCATTTTAGAAATCAAGAAATAAGATCTATGCCAACTTTACTGTTTAGGCATGATATAATTTTTTAACTGTCTCTTGCTGCTTGCTGGATAATCCTCAGCTACATGAACTTGTGTTTTCCTGGGAACCAGAAGTTCATCTGCATTGGGTGTAGTGCTACTATCATCAAAACCATCATTAACTATCACTTTAAATCAAGTTACTGCTCAGAGATAGTTCACAACTGAGGCCATTGATACTAACTATTCATTGTGTCATACTGAACTTCACATGATATTTCATTGTACTGGTGAAAAATAATCTCAATAAATTTGTGCTAGTGAGAGTTCTCAATCGACACTTTTTTTGAGGAGGAGAGTACCTTAACTATATTCATTATCCTAGCCAAGCAGTAATCAGTTGTTGGTGTGATTGATTTTTTTAGAATTCTGATAGTTTTGAGGCACCTCATGAAAAAAATGGACTTTAAAAAGTAATGCAAATCTTTCATGAATTTTTGAAGACACCTTGTACTAGCCTCATGCAACTTCTGAGTCATACATAAAGCATCATGTACACACTCCTTGCACTCTGCTTCGCACCTCTTTGGAGCTGTTTGCATAGTTGGTAGGAGATTAAGGCAAAAAAAAGATGCGAAGTTGTGGAAAATGATGAAACCCATGCTGCAGCAGACGACATGCGCTGCACTTGATTCTGTTTCAGAGGAAGTAGAGTAAGCGATAACCCAGCCGACACAATGCCGGATCCTTACCTCATGATGTTGGAAGTATCTTCAGCATGCGAATCGCTGCACAGAGGGTTGGCTAGAATCAGGCATGCCTCTGCAGATTCCACCTGTGTTTCAAGATGAAACAGAAGCCATCTTGTTAATCACACGAGAAATGCACTAACATTCCTTTTGGGGATCTTGAATGGTTTCATCGCTGAATGGCCAACAAGAACAGGAATGCTTTGAGAAGCAGCTTTTACATTCATTCTTAGTCCAGTGAGGATTGCAGCTGATGGACCAGAGCACAGGTCCCTAAGGTAAGACGCAAGATTATTTTTAAGTGGGTCAAGTACCAAGTCACACTTTTCTTATTACCTACCACCCTCTTTAAATGGCAAATGATGAGCAATAAGAGCTTTGGAATGAAACTGCCTGTATTTTCACCTTTTGTAGGACATGGGAGCTGGTGCAGCCCCAAGGAAGTGGTCCTTCACATTTCTGGATTTTGACTCTGATAGTGCTAAGAGGCTATGGGTGGGTATTCCAGCACAAAGCATTGAGAAAGATAAAATCTGCTGAGTCTGTCATCTTCTGCTTCAGTTCTTCATATTGGATCTCTAGGTCTCAACTTCCAACTAAAATCTCAGTGTTTATTGAGTCCTTAAAATTTAGAACATGACAGGAAGCTGGCTTAAACCTTCAACAAAAACTCTCTAGAGAGCATTGGCTTATCATTTTAATCTCCAACCTTGCTAGGATTTCTGCTATGTTCCCTCTGGTTTCTCCTAGTAGAAGCCACTTCAGCATGTTTTAGGAAGAGACATTGGGCAAAGCTGATGAGCTTTGCTGCTAAAAACTCTATTTGGGAGCAAGATCAAATACACTTTTGCTTTCCAAAAATGTTTTCTATTTCTTACAGTGAGAAAACTACCCTATGTAAATAGACAACTTGATAAAAGGAACAATGTATACATGTGTCAGAAGTATTGTGGTGTACTTGATAGTTATCATAGGAGGTTGGGAGTTTAATCCATAACTTTCTGAGAAGTTACTGAAGTGAAAGGGGTCAATACTCCCACCCTGCATACTCCCTCCACCAATCAAAGAATCTAGAACAAGACCAGCGGGTGGAAGATATTCCTCTCTAATTCTCTAGCTCACTGTATCTCTTGCCTTTCAAATAAAAGCGAAATAATACATTTGTTAAAAAAGTCTTTCAAAAGAATCATAGATTTATCATTTTAGGTCTGTTTTTAGAAAAGATTTCTTTTTATTTTAAAGATGAATTTGCCCAGAGCGAGACACAGAAAAGGTCTTCTATCTACTCGTTCACTTCCCAAAATGCCTATAGAGCCCAGAGCTTAGCTGATACGAAGCTGGAGATCATAAGTTTCTTCCAAGAATCCCACATGGTAGGGGGATTCAAGGCTTTTTTTAGAGCCACCCTCTACTATTTTCCCAGGCCATAAGCAAAGACTTGCACTGGCGGTAGAACATCTGGGACACAAACCAGTGCTTACACAGAATGCCAGAGCCATAGGGCAGAGGATCAGCTTGCACTACCATCATATATGCCCCAATCTTAAGTCTTGTGGCCCAGAGAGACTTCATGGAGAATGATAACTAGGCCTTACCGCAACACGCTTTAAGTCCTTCCACTTCATGGCAGATCCACAGATAAAAGTTGTGTAGGCCAAATTACACTTAAATATGGTTTCCAGTTCGAAGGAAGGAGGGGTCCTGGCAAAGGAGTGCAGTGGTAAACATGTAAAAGAGAATGTTGTCTCTTATTCATTGGTGCAATCAGTAAGATGCTCTTAATGATGGAGCAAGGAATGAAGCCTCAGCCAGGCAGCTCACAGACAGGAAACAAAGCCAGTTCCCTTAGACACTTGCTCTTGGGTTTCAGTACATCAGCCCAATCTGTGCCAGGTACTGTACCACACCTTACCCTCTGCATTTCTCTCCACCCACCTAGCTCCCAGGGAGAAAAAGTCCACTGACATTTGAAATGCCCCTGAAAAGCTGCCTAAGCTCCACCTGCACCCTCACCCCTCCAAATACCTCCAAATACTTGGAGACCTTTAAACTATCAACAGCCCAGTCTGTGGGAGGACTGGGTACCTGCCAAGTGTCTGCTCCAACTTGCATACTTGAAGTTGGCTATTGCTGCTGAATTTATTAATCTTTAATAAATTTGTCTAGAGTTCCTACTCCACCACCTTCTCTGTTTTGCATCTAATTTCAAACACTAAGCAGTCCCTAATGACTACCATGCTTCAGGAAATATCTGTCCTCTCATATTAATCTAAAGAATTAGGCAATATTCATAACAATGACCCAATTCCATCCATACACATGTAGTTGATGCACTATCAAATTTACACATACTAATGAAATGGATGCTAATTTAAAATCAAAAAGGAATGACTGTGAATGAAGAAGTTCACTAAATAATACAAATATTTGAATTAATTAAAAACATCACATTTTAAAGCAAAAATGAATGGAATAAAAGAGCTTGCAACAATATGAGCACAAACGGGCACAACTAGAAGGAGAAATTCATGAATTGCCTACTGTGAAGAGAAACGTCACTACATGTCTCCATTTTTAATACACTAAACAGAAGAAATCAGGAATTGGAACATATATTCATCATTTCATATGCAGAAATTCTTCAGTCAACATTAAAAAATCAGGTCTTCTCAACAGCACAGAGATGTTTACCAAAGTGATAATTAACTTAACCAAGAAGGAAAGCCTCAACACACTACAAAAGATATTGTCTACATCATCATTTTGAATACAACATAATAAAGTTAGAAGTTAATAACCAAGAGGTGACTAAAAATATTTCTCACATTTAGGAATGATAAAAACTACATACTTAAAAATGTTGTGGACAAAGAAGAAATCTAAAATAATTCTTTTTTTTTTTTATTGTTGCTTACACTGTATTATGTAGTACAGTTTTATAGGCGCTGGGGATTCCCCCCACCCCTCCCCATATCCCTCCCCCCATGGTGGATTCCTCCACCTTGCTGCATAACCATAGTTCAAGTTCAGTTGAGATTCTTACACTTACAACTTGGAAATAAATTACTTGGAAAATACTACATATATCTTTGGATATAATAACAACAGTGTTTGAGTGGAATTTATAGTTTTAGACACTAATATTTGAATAAAACCAAAGAAATAAGTTGAGTTCTGAATGTAGGGCAGTCTCACTGGAGTTAGGTGGTACTTCAATGTGGTTTTCATTTGTAACTCCCTGATGGCTAGGAAGCCTGAGCATCTTTTCATATATCTGTTAGCCATTTGAATCTGTTCTTTTGCAAAATGTCTGTTTGTTTCCTTTGCCCATATTTTAATAGTTTTTTCAAAACTGCCCCTGGATTTCTGACACTCTTAGTAAATCCTGGATATTAGTCCCCTATCATTTGTGTAGTGTGCAAACATTTTCTCCCATTCTCTTGGTTTTTCTTCACTTTCTTGATCATTTCCTTTGCTGTGCAGAAGCTTCCTATTTGATGTAGTCCCATTTGTTCATTTTGGCTTTGGTTGCCTGTGCTTTTGGCGTCTTTTCTAAGAAGTCTTGCACTGTTCCTATATCTTGGAGTGTGCCTACTCTGTTTCCCTTTAATAGTCTGATGGTTTCTGGGTGTAGATTTAGGTCCTTGATCCATTTAGAGCTGATTTTCATATAATGTGACTGATGTGAGTCTTGATTCTTAATTCTGCAGGCTGCTATCCAGTTTTCCCAACAGCATTTGTTGAATAGACCAGGCATTTTGCCTGGCTTGTTTTCACTTTTCTTGTCAAAAATTAGTTGGCTACACATGTGCGGGCTCCCTTGTAGTGTTTCTATCCTGTTCCATTGATCTTCTCTGTTTCTGTGCCAGTCTCAGACTGTTTTGAGAACCACTTCTCTATATTATGTCTTGAGGTCTGGAATTGTTATTCCTCCGGCTTGATTTCTATTTTTCAGGATAGCTTTGGCTATTCGTGGTCTTTGGTGATTCCAGATGAACTTTTGTATCATCTTTTCTATTTCTGAGAAGGATGATGTTGGGATTTTGATTGGGATTGCATTAAATCTATATATTGCTTTTGGTAGTATGGTCACAACACCTGATGGCATGGATGTGGGGAGAAAGGTGCCTTCCTTCACTGCTGGTGGGAGTGTAGGCTAATACAACCACTGTGGAAATCAGTATGGAGAGTGCCTGGAGAATTGCAAATAAATCTGCCTTATGAGCCAGCTATCCCACTCCTAGAAATATACCAAAAAGAAATGAAAACTGTTTATAAGAAAGGTATCTAAAATCTTATATTTATCAGCAGCACAATCTATGATAGCAAAGCGATCAAAACAATCCAGATGCCCATCCAAAGAGGAGTGGTTAAAAAAACTGTGGTACAACTACTCCATTGAATGTTATTCAGCTATTGAGAGGAATGAAAGCATACTATTTACAAATAGGTGGTCCCAACTGGAGACTCTTATGCTCAGTGAAATGAGTCAATCACAAGAGAACAAATACCATATGTTCTCTCTATGATAAGGAAACCAGCATGGAATGTGTAACTTCAATCATCTGATCCATACTGGGTTTTTTTTTTCTGCATCCCATGTGTTTTAATGTTTTTTATTTCAGTTTTATTTATCCAAATACTTTCTCTTTTCTTGTTGAATTCATTGCTGGCTCATGGATTACACAGTGGCATCATTTTTCCCAAGAGAATTTTGTATTTCCTTTTTTGTCACCCATGAGTTGGTTAGTCAATGGCATGTTTTTTCATGGTGCTGTAATTTGATGATGTTGTCACTGTTGAGGCTGTTGTTCTAACTCATACTAGTTGTTTACCTTGTTTCATGGCTTCTCAATTATGAAAATGTGTAATGATTGAGTTCTGGGGTCTAATATATCCAGATGTGGGGGTATAATGCAACATGCATTCTTGCTTCCAGACAAAAAAAAATTCCCAATGAAACTGTTGGACATGTGTAGACCATGGGATGCTGGGCTGTCTGACTTCCTCTGTACCATCAATGTTGGGGTACACTTAAAGAAGAGACTGATGGAATTATGATTTCTTATGAAGGACTACACTACTGTAGTAAAATGGAGAAAATTTGTTGAGGTGTGGGAGTTTGGAGGAAAACCCAGTCTATACAAAATTATACTACATAATTCAAAAATTCAATATTAAAAATAATATAAAAACACAAAGAAATAAGCAGATGATAATAAAAACAGAGTGTGAGAAAATGAAAAAGAGAAACAAAAGAACAGAAGTGATAGGAGGGCAAAACCTGGGTCCTTGCAAAATAACCTAATATTATAGTTAAAGCTGTGCTAAAACTGATGGAGAAAAAAATAAAGATAAAAAGGCTGTACACTGAATGAAGAGTGTCTTACCTCTTTGTTCAGGCATTTTAAAAGCATTTGTACTATTTTCCATGATATAGTTTTGTAGGTATGGAGATTCCCCTCTTACTTCCCTTTTCTTTCTCCCTGTAGTCCCCTCCCACCATTTCTTCTCATATTATTATATGATAATGTTTATATAGAATACTATTATTACATAATAATATGTGTATATATACCTATATATTATATATAATATGTACTATATTAGTTTAGTAAGTTATAAATTTAAAATTTTGCTATCTAAGTGCATCATAACATTGTAGGCTTGGGCAATGGTAGAAAAATCTATTATCTTATTGTCAAGGTATATTTAACAGTTTAGTTACAGCCAGCAAATGTGTGTACTACTATATATTTTCACTTCCTTGTATGCTAGTTTCTATCATATAGTTCCTCTATGAAAATATATTTATATACTTGTTCACCTATATATCTATTTGTTTTGAATTTTGCATGAATGCCATTTTATATTTGTCCTTTTGTGACTGGCTTATTTAAACATAATAGTCTCTAGTTGGGACCATTTTATTGGAAATAGAATTTCACTCTTTTTCATGGCCAACTGGTAGTTCATGGAGCAGATGTACGACAATTTCTTTATCCAATCCTCTTTTGATGGACATTTGATTCTGTTTCTTGGTATTGTCAACAGCACTGTAGAGAATATGTGGCAATGCAAGTATCTCTTCACCATACAAATTTCACACACTTTGGACCACAGTAGTGACATAGCTGGGTTATATGATTCTGTTTTAATTTTTTAGGAATTGCCATGCTAGATGAATTATCATAATAGATGCAGTGATTTACATTCTGGCCCACACTACCAGCAGTTCGCATTTTCTGCATATCATCACTGAATTTTGTTATCCTTTGTCTTCTTGCTAGCTAGTTGCCATTCTAACTGAGATGAATAATAGCTTTTTTGTGATTTTTATTTGCATTTGTGGTTCCAGTTTTGTGATTCCTTTTGTTAACCATTTATTCATTTATCTGTAGAAATAAAAGACCAAACAAAATTTAGGGAACCACTAGTCCTGACGCGTTTAACAAGGTGGTGACAACCAAGACAGCAGGCAGTAAATGGTTTAATTTCCTCTTAGATTTATTGTTTATTTTACATGAAAATCAGAGTTTCAAGGAGGGAGAGGCAGAGACACAAAGAGAGATGTTCCATCTGCTTAATAACTCCTTAAATGGTCACAACAGCCAGTGCTGAGCCAGGCGTGAGGAGCCAAGCATTTCCTCCAGGTCTCCCACATGGGTGGAAGGACTCAAAGCCATCCTTTACTATTTTCT